CACCGGAGGAGGCGAGAGCAGACGAAGGGCCACCGGAGGAGGCGAGAGCAGACGAAGGGCCACCGGAGGAGGCGAGAGCAGACGAAGAGCCGGCGGAGGTTGACGGAGCCAGAGTGTCAACGATGGCAAAGGCAGGCGACAGAGGCGATGAGGAGGCGATGGGCAACGTGGAGGCAACGGCAACCGACTCAGATGTCGTGGAGGCGCCGGCAGCCGACCCACGAACCTCAAGGACTGCCTACACTGGGACCACCACCTCAGGAGACACTGGGACGGCCACCTCAGGAGACATTGGGACTGCCACCTCAGGAGACACTGGGACCACCACCTCAGGAGACACTGGGACGGCCACCTCAGGAGACACTGGGACGGCCACCTCAGGAGACATTGGGACTGCCACCTCAGGAGACACTGGGACCACCACCTCAGGAGACACTGGGACGGCCACCTCAGGAGACACTGGGACGGCCACCTCAGGAGACACTGGGACTGCCACCTCAGGAGACATTGGGACCACCACCTCAGGAGACACTGGGACAGCCACCTCAGGAGACACTGGGACTGCCACCTCAGGAGACACTGGGACCACCACCTCAGGAGACACTGGGACGGCCACATCAGGAGACATTGGGACTGCCACCTCAGGAGACACTGGGACCACCACCTCAGGAGACACTGGGACGGCCACCTCAGGAGACACTGGGACCGCCAACTCAGGAGACACTGGGACCACTGACTCTGGAACCACTGGGACCACCGACTCAGGAACAGGGACTGGAACAACCAACTCAGGAAACTTGGAAAACTCAGGAATAGACTCAGGTGGTTCAGCAGACCCAGAAGACTCAGGTGATCCAGCAGGCAACCCAGGAAAAACAGGGGTGGGAGGGTGGGAAACAGAAATTCCAGGTGCCTCTGCTCTCGATGGACAGAGATATGAGAAAGAAGCAGCCAGTTCATCCAGCCGTCTCTAATGCTGTTGCAGGTTCTCCAATAACTCATGGTGATTAAAACCAGAGAACGTCTTGCCTGCAGGCTGGGGACTTGGTCCAATCCTTATGTGAGGTGCAGGCAGGGAGAAACCCAGGGTGCAGGCAAACTCAAAGTGGTCCACGGGCCACCAGTTTATAATCACAGTTGTAGTCTGTTTTGATACGTTTTATGAGTGAACCAAGGAGAAGAAAAGTTTGTTTGGATTGTAAAGGTTACAGTTCCCTGTAATAGAATTAACATCATATTACTTTTCTTTCATAAAGATTCATGTTTTATTCATTTTGCTGCTTTTCAACGTGATGATTACATGTTTTACAAGCATCGTGTTGACAAGGCCAGGTGAAAAAAGCAGTCAAGGTGCTTTAGGAAGACCATCAGAGAGTCTGAGGGAACTCTAGATCCAAATCACTGTCAAAGATTAGAAAAGTGTGGCTGCATGGAAGCAAAATATAAACAAAAGTGCGAGAAGGTCCTGTTTGGATTCAAGCCCCAGGTTGGGCCTGGGATCTTTCTGTGTGGAGTCTGCATGCTCTTCTTGTGTGGCTGTTTTCTGTGTTCCCACAGTCTAAAAACAAGCATGTTTAGGCTGCCTTCAGGCCTTCAACTGAGAACCAATAAAATTCCAGGTCGGTGCAAAGACTCATGAAGTTATTGACAGTTTCAAGAAATTTGATCCTCTTTTTTCGCCCAGATTATTCAAACCCAAGTGATGAAACCCAGAGACGACATCCGTCAGCCTCCACCATGACCTAAATGAGGATGAAGTTTTTGGATTCCAGAGAAATGTCTCCAAGGCAGAAATGTGGACTAACTAGATTACCCTCCTACATAAACGAAGGTTAAATGCCAAACGTGAAATGTTTCCATGTATGATGACACCACAGGAGAAAGTCACCGACACCTAAACAAAGTCTTCAGCCAACAGAGTTTATAGGTCACACACTTTTAGGAGGAATGCATACCACCCTCAATCCACAGCCATCTTGAATTGGATTGGCTCCGAAAGGTGTTGTAGATAAACATCCAATAATTATTCCTTGAAAGTTTCATTAATAGTCATGCTCTGGTTCATGAGATATTTTGCTAACAGGGACAGGCATACACTTTATGGTGCTACCCTTACCTTTCTGCAGCAGGCATTAATTCATTTATAGCTAACATTTTTATTTAATCAGTCCAATTAACATTATTTAAAAGGTTATTTTGGTGTGATTGTATTGTTAGACGTGAGTTATAAACCATGTTTAGGGCTGAAGTATTGAGCAGAAAATGTGAAATTGTTCCGTATAACACAGAGAATTTATTTTACATTCACTATATATTGTTGAAACTGACTTTTTAGTCTGTTATAATAAAAAAAAACTGATGGGGGGGCATGTTTCTGAGCCTGTGTGTGCAGTTTAATTAAAAGATAAATAATAAACACTATTCTATTATGTGCATATTCCTTTATGATGAATTATTATCATAGCTACAACACAGAGTTATAAAATGAAGTGGAGTATCTTAAAGCTGTATTTAATTGTAAATATAACTATTTTATTAGTTAGTGTGAGAAAAGGTGAAACATGGGACTGTAGTTGTGTTCGCAGTCCACCAGAGGGCGCTAAGACTCCGCTTTATGCTTCTTTTGTAGATATCACGAGCTCAGCTAATGTTTAAGCTAACCCTAAATTTAAACCTAGCCTTATGCTAGTTAGCGTCTCGGAAAAGTTTAAACTTATCAATGGTATAGTTTCACCACATCGGTCGGTTCGACATGGACGAGCCGGACACCGCGGCGATCCTCCCGGAGGACCTCCTCAGCGCCGCATCGTTGGACGACCAGCCGCCGGACTCTGACGACGTCCATGGCGGGGAGGCTGGTGTGCAGACCACCGGAGCTGCAGCGAGACCGGCGTGCCCGCCGCCGGTGTCCGTGGAGCCGGTGCTGTTCCTCTCCATGTTCTCCGTGGCCCTCCAGGCACCTCTGTGCACCCAGTACCTGTGGGACCGCATCAGCGAGGACCTGGGCTATAACGGGTCCAAGAGTTCGGACTGCGTGAACAGTTCGGCTCCTCCGGACCCTCTCCAGAAGGTGGGCAGACAGAAATGAACAACCTGCAGGATGTAAATCTGATCACAAACCTGCTTTAGTTCCCATAAAATGTGAAGCTTAATTAAATCATGTTAAACTTTTTGCACTTTTATACGCAACAAGAAAACAGGTGGAACCACTGGAACCAGAGCCATAAATAAAGTAAATTTTTATAGGAATTTCTTGTCATATCAGCAGTTTATGACATAAACAAGTGGCTGTAAATAATAAAGGTAACATTAAGTCTGAAAAATAAAAAATACTGAAATGCTTTTTTTTTGCTTCTACTTATATATATTCTTAAAAATATTTAGAGTAATAAGTTATGACAGAAACGGATTAAAGAGAACCAGCACATCTTTGTCATACTTTAATTAAAACAAATTAAACAGACATCTGAATACATCACAAACATCTGAAATAATTTATTACATATTTAAAACAAATTACTCTGGGATAGAAACAGAAGCAAAACCATTGTAGATGAGTGCAAATATTTAGAGTAATAAGTTATGACAGAAACGGATTAAAGAGAACCAGCACATCTTTGTCATACTTTAATTAAAACAAATTAAACAGACATCTGAATACATCACAAACATCTGAAATAATTTATTACATATTTAAAACAAATTACTCTGGGATAGAAACAGAAGCAAAACCATTGTAGATGAGTGCAACTCTTCAGACGCTGCATTTGTTAAAAAAAAGAGGAAAGAGTGTCACAAACTGAAACTAAGCCAGGGGGATTTGACGATCAGGCACTTTGTCAGTAAAAAAAAAAAAAAAGGACAAAAATGCACATGAAACAGTTTGTGTCGCTTCACGTTGTTCGTCTTTTCCAGGAAGTGGAGACGTTGACCGCCCACTGGAACTTGTACATCAATCTGGGGGGCTTTTTGGTGGGAATACTGGTGGTGCCTCTCCTGGGTTCGTGGAGTGAYGTCGCAGGTCGCAGACTCGTTCTGGTCCTCCCCAACCTCGGCCTGGCCCTGCAGGTGGTGGTCTACCTGGTGGTGATGTACCTCCGGCTCCCTGTGGCCTACTTCTTAGTGGGCAGGCTGCTCAGCGGCCTCTCGGGAGACTTCAACGCCGTGCTGGCCGGCTGCTTCGCCTACGTGGCCGACGTCAGCGACAGGAGGTCCCGCACCTTCAGGGTGGCGGTTCTGGAAGCTTGTCTGGGTCTGTCGGGGATGCTTGCTAGCATCATCGGAGGCCAGTGGAGGCGGGCACAAGGGTTAGGAATATTTTTTGTGTGCATTCTTGCCTAAAACTACAAAATAAACCTGATTTATGAATATATTTGTATATTCTCCTCAGCTACATCAACCCATTCTGGCTGGTGCTAGCCACCAACCTGGCCTCAGCTCTGTACGCCTACCTGTTTGTCCGCGAGTCCGTCCACCCAGACCCAAGCGCCAAGCTGCTCACCACTCGCCACCATAAAGCCGTGTGGCGCCTGTACTCAACGGGAGGCGGCAGCGAAGGGGTTGGGAGATTCCACCGCTGCAAGCTGTGGCTCTACACGCTGTGCTTCTTYCTGGTGGTGACCGTTCACTTTGGCAGCAGGGACCTGTATGTGTTGTACGAGCTGAGCTCGCCGCTCTGCTGGAGCTCCGCCCTCATTGGCTACGGGTCAGCGGCGCTGCACCTGGCTTACCTGAGCAGCCTGCTGGGGCTGAAGCTCATGCAGCGCTGCCTGGAGGACTCCTGGGTGGCTCTCGTGGGTCTGGCCTCAAATATAATCGGGCTGGTGGTCTTTTCTGTAGCTGACAGCACTCAGCTCATGTTCACAGGTGAGACATGATACAAGCTTTGGAAACAGTTTCCATAAATACAGTATTCTTTCATTTAAGTCTGTATGATAACAAATAGAAGGTTTGGGCTTTTAATAAAAGTCAAACAATGTATTTTTTGATTGTGTTTTCTTCCAGGCTATGGTCTGTGTTTCCTCTTCATGGCTGCGACTCCCGTCCTCAGGTCCAAGCTGTCCAAGTTGGTGGACCCGTCTGAGCAAGGTGAGCTCCTGATCGTGGCCGATGTTTAACACACATCTGGAGCAGAGGGTGAGTTCAGGGTGTCCATCAGTCCGCTGCCACGAAGGACAGCTTGTGTCCTGCCGGTTGAATATACTTTATCTGACCCATCACACCAAACTGACTAAGTCAACTTTAGTCAAAATGATCTGAGCACATTTTCAGCTTCCTGCGTTTTAAGCTTTAAGAAACCTGGATCATCCTGATATGAGGGGTTCAGATACAGTATGTCTTGATTTGTCRTTCTAATCAGACTAACCCTTTAATATTTGGTTAAAAGGATTGTTTTGTGTCATTTTGAAGAGAAAAATTGAAAAAAATATTTGAACATTAAGATTTACAAGCTGGACAGAAAATAAGCTTTGCTAGCTCACAGGGAAAAAATGTATAAAGTTAAGGACTTATTTAATGATAAAGCACTATTTATACTATATAATGCAATAATTGTTCCACATTTGATTTACTGTTGACAAGTGTNCCACATTTGATTTACTGTTGACAAGTGTGTGTTTAGGATTCAGAATCGCTGGAGAGAAAAACAGATTTAAAAGGTTTATTAAAGCGCTGGATGTGAGCGGTCCTCTGGACCCTCGAAATGAACCACACTGTGGAGCAGAACACTGATGAGTGTAGGGAGCAGATAAGATGGATTTGCTGAATAAACAAATGGTTATTGACCTTAGATCTGCGGACAGATTTGTGCAGGTGAGTCCACCACTGACGGTGATCCGAGAGGGGTCAGATTTGGGTACAGGGACTGACTAGTTATGGAAATCCAGAAGGTGGTCCAAGGTCTGAGCCGGGAGATCGGAAATCCAAAAACAAATCCAAATCACAATCCAGGTAGCGGTGTCCAGAGACCAGAAACGGGTTCATAAGCCAAGGGTCAGATTCAGTGTCAGTATCAGGCAAGGGACAGGCAGGTGACGAAGGTCGAGAGACAGGCCGTGGGTCAGGAACAAGAGATCAGGCATGGACATGGAAAAACCGCTGGACATCCACTTGGCGAACTGTTCAATAATCTGGCAGTGAGAGTCTGTGGGTATGGAGTTTAAATAGGAGGCAGAACAGGTGAAACAGATGAAGATGATGCGTGGCATGAGCAGAGGAGCTGGAGGACAGGCTGTGAGTGACAAGCAGCTGAGAACCAACTGGTGCAGCCAAGATATAATTGTATAGAAGTCTGGGGAAATGCATGTAAAACAATTACTAATCCTATTTTTATTTTACAAAAAAGAGCCATACGAATTATCACAAGAGAGCATTACTRTCACCCATCTAACAWATTGTTTCAGTTAAAGTTATTAAAATTTWATGAGTTGGTTGAATATCATGTYCTGCAGGTTATGTATAAAGCTCATAAAAATGTGTTACCTTCAAAMATCCAATCTAATTCTGTTAAAAGTGAAAGCTGCTATGATTTGAAGGGACTGGTCAAACCGAAAATCCGAACAAATTTGAAGGACAGATGCACTTCAGTAAAAGGTATAAGACTATGGAATAATCTGGAAAATGATTATAAAAGCATTGGATC